TATATATATATATTATATTATATTTAACAAGGCAATGTGTATTTTTATTGTTTGCACAAAAGAAAAATAGAAAAAAAAAACACATTCAAACTCATAAACCGGAAAAGGAGAAAACCATTTTCTCGTAACAAACCTGATTCTGCTTGGATTACCCGTAACTGTTTCTGAAGCTCAGTGTGAATGAGTCCTTGAGAAGAAGAGAGTAACTCAAGCACAATGCTGCCCTTCATCCGGCTGGAAGGATGTGTTGTTGTGTGTGTTCAGTCACTGAATGAGCTCTTTGTGTGCAGGATATGGATACGCCACACTGGCCAACCTCATCATCTGTCTGATGGCCATGTTTGGGATTGTGGTGCTGCTGTTCTCCGCGTGCACACGAGTGTTTGAGCTCTGCATCCAGTTCTGCATCAGTCTGGCTGTGGGATCTCTGACAGGTGACGCTCTGCTGCATCTGCTGCCCGCGGTGAGCAAACGCCCGCATTCAACACAATACACACAACTGCTGGCTCTCTGCGTCTCGTTGTAATCATAATATGGTGATTTTGTGCTGCAAAGCAGTTGTTATTGTTACAAACCAGCTGAGGAAATGGCTAAAAAATTGAGTTAAAACTGTAAGCACAGTATAAATAGTAGGGCTGGGCGATATAGCTAAAAAATGTATCAACGATATAATGTTTCATATCGTTCGGTATCGATAATTATTGACATTTTTTATAACCTTTTTTAAAACAAAGAGCAATAGAAAATATGTTTAAATTTAACCACTGTATTTTTAAATTAACCCAATTTATTGAGATAAACAACAAATTTTTTTTGTTTGAACAGTCAAACACAAAATAAAAATTAAACAAATATCTAATTTCTATTGTTTTATATGCAGATTAAACAGGTCTTAAAGGGGTCATATGATGCTGCTAAAAAGAGCATTATTTTGTGTATTTGGTGTAATGAGGCATTAAATTGTCAATGCAAATAAATAACTGTCTATAAAAAAACGTGCATTACGTCTAAATTAAGTCCTATAAATCAAATATAATTTCGTAAATTGCATAAATCATATTTGTCCGTCTAAAAAATGTGCTGAATTTGCGTTCAGTGTGAATGGCTTGGTTTCAGTTTTAACCAATTCAGCATTTTCTACGCATTGAGCTACTATATTTCTCTAATATTTTAAAATGAATAATGCAGCAACTGCACGTCTCGTGGGCTAGACTAACAAAACATTAAAATGCAACAACGTCACTTACATCATCATCACCGTATCTTGTTCTCCACTGATGACGCTCCCTGACGCACACCTAACATTGTACTATTTTTGCATTCAAATGCAAATGTTTATTTTAAATTCAACTTATATTATTTATTGTTTTATTCACAATCTCCTCATCACAGGCAGGCACAGCACCCAATTCAGCATGTGTTCGTGTTTGTGTGTGCTGTCTGCCTCACTCAGAGCAGGTGCCTATATCATGCGCTATATCGAACATTTTTATATCGTTATTGAAGAAGGTGTACCGTCGATAAATATCGATACCGTTTTATCGCCCAGGCCTAATAAATAGAAAATATAAGCCTCTGAAAGGAACAAATCACAACCCTCAACTTTTCTTTTGAATGTATATACACTTTACCAGCGAACTTTGGGGTTTGAACATTTGTTTTAAAAGAAATGAATACTTTTATTCAGCAAGGATGCATTAGATTGATCCAAAGTGACAGTAAAGTCGTTTAAAATGTTAACATACAAAAGATCCGTTTCAAATTAACGCTGTTCTTTTGAACTTTCTATTCATCAAACAATCACGAAAAATAAAAATGCATCACAGTTTCCACAAAAATGAAGCAGCACAACTGTTTTCAACATTGATCATTTTGACATTGATTTTGATTTGATCAAATAAATGCAGCCTTGGTGAGCAGACTTTTTTCAAACTTTTTACTGACCCCAAAGTTTTTGTCACTGAAACTTCTTGACAAACAGTTTCAGTCTTCCCCATTCAAAGCTGTATTTGCATGATTGGAGGCAGCTGATAGCTTCAGTATTTACATGACTTTATTTGCCTACATAACTGGTTCTCTTCATATATTTGCATCTTCAATCCCTGTTTGTGTCGTGTAGAATCATTTAGTATTCTGATCTAAAGAATAAAATATCATATATAATAAAATAGTATTATTTATAGTAAAACATAATAAATAATATTAAATGTGAAGATTTATGCATATGCATCAGTGTTATTTTGGTACAAATGATCATTTTAATTTTATTAAAATCTTGTTTTTATTTTATATTTTATGTTTTCATTTTAATATTAATTAAAGGTTTGGTAATTTTTGTTGTTTTGTTTTGTTTTTAAATGTCTAGTTATTTTATTTTATTTATTTATTTTAATACATCCAGTTAAACTAAATGAAAATGGCAAAGTTTGCTTTTAGTTAAGGTTTTAGTACTTTTGTTCTGTTTAATGTTTTTTTTTATTAATTTAAAATATATTTAAATTAAAAATATATATTTTTAATTATTTCAGTTTTAGTTATTTTACTTGGTTAAACTTCATGAAAATGAGAAATATTGCCTTGAAAACTAGATGAAAATAATCATTTAAATCCTCTTAAAATGTGAGTTTCTCCATGTATTAAATTTCGATTGCTTTCAAAGATAAATTTGCTTGAATATTTTCTGTATATACATTTCAGTTCATGTTTATTCATGTAACAATATCAGTTCATCATAATTTTATCTTATTACAGTCCATCCCAAATCATGAGAGGCACTGCCAAAACACAGGTTAATCTTTAGCTTTGAATAACTCTGAAAGGGCAAAGGAGTGTAAATTTCATATTTCATATTGCTGACATGCCGACTTTTGCATGCAACTTTATACAGTAGCTGCTGTTTTAGTTTTAGCCTTCATCATCCTTCTGAATCACCCTGCGATTACTCTTCGGCTGGGCATCTTCTCAAGTCTCGCTGAAAGCTCAGTTTTCTGGTTTAACGGGGCATAATGGGCCTGGCACCCATTATTTCCCCCGAGCACTGACAGCGCCCACGTTCCCTCATCCGTTTAGATCCGTGTCAACATAACTGCAGCCCTGTCACTCCATGACATCGCCCTGAGTGGAAAATAACCGGATTGCTGAGAGAAACAGAGCTCACTTATTGAGTGCAGACAGGAATGACTGTACAGCGCTGCTGGGAAATCAAAGCATGATCGGCGTTAATGTCGTTTGATCTCTGTGCAGTTCTTAGGCCTCCACGTTCACGAGGACGGACACGATCACGACCAAGCCGAGGACAACTTCGACTATGTGTACAAACTGCTGGTGCTTGTTGCGGGCATCTATTTCTTCTACCTGATGGAAAGCATCTTCTCCATCGTTACTCGCGGAGGACATCACCATAATCATGATGAAGTGAGTCTTTCGTGTCGTTCGAGAGGTCCGGGTCGATTATAAAACCATTCCCAACCGCTAACATGATGCTGTGTTCGCAGGAGGAGTCTGACGTTCATCACTGTGATCACAGCAAAGTCCTGCAGATGTTCCAACGAGAGAAACAGAACAAACACTCCAACTCGCAGGCCGATCTGGTGAGAAAATCACACAGAAATCTACTTTTAAATAGCAAGAAAAGCAGAAAACAGTCTTTGGTGATGAATGAACTAATACTAATGGGGTCTAAATTCAGAAGCAGTGTGTTTCTTTTTAGAATCGTTGATATATTATTTTAGTTACTATTACAGTTTTATTTATACATATATATATATATATATATATTAGTGCTGTCAAATGATTAATCACGATTAATCGCATCCAAAATAAAAGTTTTTGTTTACATAATATATGAGTGGGTACTGTGTATATTTATTATGTATGTATATATAAATACAAACACATGCATGTATATATTTAAGAAAAATATGCTATGTTTATTTATTAAATATATGTAATATAAATTATATGAATATAAATATATAAATGTAAATACATGTAAATATTTTCAAAATATATACTGTATGTGTGTGTTATATATATATATATATATAACTGTAATAGTAACTAAAATAATTAATAAAATAATTTTTATTATTATTTTATGGTTTTAATTTTTAGTTCTAGTTTACAATAATAACTCTGTTCAGACATTTGAAGCTAGTAACAAAGCGTAAGGCTTAAATGCTCTCAGAATATGAGTTTCTTTAAATATTGAATTTAGGTTACATTCACAATTTGCTTGAATATTTTCTGAATATCTGCATTTGTGATGTTGTTGTTATTATTATTATTATTGTTAATATTAAAATATTATTATTTTGTTTAAGGTTGCACAGAGGAGGAACATTTCTCGTAAATTTCTAGAAACATTGCAGAATTTTTGGACACTTTACGGGAATTTTTTGGAAACTTTCTGAAAATTTTGGAAATTTACCGGAAATGTTATCACTTTATTACATTTTATATGTAATTGTTAAAACTTTATTTAAATCAAATTTTATAATAATAATATTGTAGGTGCTTAAATATTCTCTGAATATCTGTAGTTATCTAGTGAGTTTGTTGGTTCTAAGTGATGTCTTGTATTACTAGTTTATGAATAATATTGAATTAATTTATTAATTAATTTAATATTATTATTGCTATTTATTTATTTCTCTTTTTTTTTTTTTTTTTTTTTTTTTAAATAAATGCCGTAGAAGATGAATGCCGAAAAAAATGAGAAGTCCTTCCTGGAACCTGTTGGCCCCAAAAGAGGTGATTATACACACAACTAGGAGTTAATGATATATTACTAAAACTCATCTAAGAGAGTCAAATGAGTTGTTTAGTGCAAATGACCGTTGGGTTATTAATATCCCATCAGGCCACTAGTAAAAGCTTCATGAATTTCATAGTTGTCTTCTCTTCTCCCTCAGAGCAGCGTATGCTTCCCTACATGATCACCATTGGAGACGGCATCCATAACTTTGCGGACGGTCTGGCGATCGGTGCAGCGTTCTCCATCTCATGGCGGTCCGGTCTGGCCACGTCTCTGGCTGTGCTCTGTCATGAGCTGCCGCATGAGTTAGGTGAGCGTCTTTGTGCTGGTTTGACATTAATATAGACAAATACTCACACACAGACACATACATAAACTACAACACAAAGTGAGCTGCTTTGCTGTCTGCTGCACATACAGTATAGGGAGTGTCGTAATGGAAATACAGTAAGTGATTTGGAACGCTCTGCAGTATGAAGAGCTTCATGTAAAGATAGAGTTCAATGTTACCATGCACTTTAATAAGCATGAAATAGCATTTTTCTATTCAACTTTAAAAAATACATTAAATGCTGTAATATTGTGAGATATTATTACAATTTAAAATAACTGTTTTCTATTGTAATATATGTTAAAATATAGTTTATTCCTGTGATGCAAAGCTGAATTGTCAGCATCATTACTCCAGTCTTCAGTGTCACATGATCTTCACAAATCATTCTAAAATGCTGATTTGCTGCTCAACAAACATTTCTGATTATTATCAATGTTGAAAACAGTTGTGCTGCTTAATATTTTTGTGTGGGAACCATGATACATTTTATTTTTCAGGATTATTTGTTTTTGTAAAATTATAAAATGTCACTTGATCAATGTAATGCATCCTTGCTGAATAAAAGTATTTGATAAAAATGTGCTATATATAGAAACCGTGTTTGTTCAGAGAAAAACAAGTGCTGACTAGCTGTTAGTCACTGCTGAAGGACTTTGTGGAAACATCTGAGCAGTGGTTTCTATAAAGAGTCTCTGAGTCATGAACGTCCCAGATAAACACAGATTAGATACTTTTGACACCTGAGTTCATAAAACGTTCATAACTGCACCCCACTAGATTATAATTGCCTCATGCTTTCTGCACATACATGATATTTGCCCTCATGAGCACAGAATGAAGGGACTGATAAATCATGTGGTGTGCTTCTCCTGACTTACAAAGAAATCAATTTACACGCCTCTCTATGCAAGTAAAAGATTAATTTTCAATGATTAATTATTCAACTGCAGTTATTATTGTTAACTAAAACTTAAATGTAAAAAAAAATAATTGCTTGAAATAAAATTAATATTAACAGAAATAAAATAAAATATTTTTTTAAAAATCAGCTATTCAGCAAAATTACGTTTCATATATATTTCAGTTTCAACACTCACCGCGCTCTCTCAGCTTTTGTAGGTGCAAAGACCTATTTCTTATTTTAAACATTACTCAAGGTCTGCACTCTAAAATTCTCTTTATTTAAACAGGAGATAAATACAAATAACAGACGTTTCGGCTTGCTGCCTTCCGCTTGCTGTTTAATATATATTTCAGTTAAAAAATTTGAATTTTCATTTAGTTTAAGTTGAAGTACTAAAATAAAATTAACTAAATAAACTAAAATTAAAAACTTAAACTTAACAATGAAAACTATAGACATATTTAATAATAATATTAATAATAATAATAAAATGACAAAACAAAATTACTAAAACCTAACAGAAAATATGAAACAAAAATCTAAATAGTAGCAGAATATTAACAAATACTCTAATAGTGAATCAAAGGGTACTAAAATATCTCTAAACTCAATGAATGATTTTTGATTTATACAATTTTTTATGGTTTAATGATCAAATTGATTTGCATTTACTTAATTAATTTTATTTATTCCATCTGTTTTTTTTGGGGTTTTTTTGACTGTGATGTTTTTCTTCCTTCTGCACTTATTGATTGATTGATCTTAACCTAACCAGAGGAAGGTTTTATGGGTTAGCAATTGCTTTTTTTAGCTCAGGAGACTTAAGGTTTCACAAAAACTGTTAAGCAATATCTGAGTCACATATCACTCCAAAAAATAAATTACACATTTGTGACCCTGGACCACAAATCCAGTCATAAGGGTCAATTTTCTGAAATTGAGATTTATACATCATATGAAAGCTGGATAAATAAGCTTTCCATTGATGTATGGTTTGTTAGGATAGGACAATATTTGGTCGAGATACAACTATTTGAAAATCTGGAATCTGAGGATACAAAAATCTAAATATTAGCAGAATATTAACAAATACTCTAATAGTGAATCAAAGGGTACTAAAATATCTCTAAACTCAATTAATGATTTTTGATTTATACAATTTTTTATGGTTTAATGTTCAAATTGATTTGCATTTACTTCATTAATTTTATTTATTCCATCTGTTTTTTTTGGGGTTTTTTGACTGTGATGTTTTTCTTCCTTCTGCACTTATTGATTGATTGATCTTAACCTAACCAGAGGAAGGTTTTATGGGTTAGCAATTGCTTTTTTTAGCTCAGGAGACTTAAGGTTTCACAAAAACTGTTAAGCAATATCTGAGTCACATATCACTCCAAAAAATAAATTACACATTTGTGACCCTGGAACACAAATCCAGTCATAAGGGTCAATTTTCTGAAATTGAGATTTATACATCATATGAAAGCTGGATAAATAAGCTTTCCATTGATGTATGGTTTGTTAGGATAGGACAATATTTGGTCGAGATACAACTATTTGAAAATCTGGAATCTGAGGATGCAAAAAA